AGGAAGGAGACTGATTTGGGTGGGGTCCGCTGAAGCTCTGCCCTGGCAGGAGCAACCTACGAACCCAGGGATCCTGGGTCTCTGAGGCCCAGATGCGTGCAATCAGCTTTCCATAGGTCTGCCTGCTGGCAGAGAGCTTAGAGGTGCCCAGAGGCAGAGCCTAGTATCAAGAAGAGAACTTAACCAGGGATAGCGGGCTCCTGTCAAAAATCAGAGGAGCATGCCGACCTGGGAGGGTGGACGAGGGACCATCCTTCACCCGCTTGCTCACCTTCACTGGCTTGTTGTGGGTGTCCCAATGCCAGGATCTGTACGCAGCCGGGGAGAAGATTTGCGGGACTGATGAGATGAAATTCATCACCATCCTGTGCACACGCAGTGCCACACACCTGATGAGAGGTACCGGGGAAGGGAGGCAGGGAGGCACTGTCAGGTGGGACCTGGTAGGGGAAGGGGGCGGGTGGAGGCGCTCTGGCCACAGGGCCTCTCCCTTCACACTGAATAGCCAGTGTGTGGCCTTGTCAAGTCACGGAGTTGAAGAGAGAGCCAGGGAGCCCTGCATCCTTTCCCCGACAACCAACTGGAGGTCAGGGTGGTGCACTGATGTGGAGTCTCTGATCTGAGATGCTGGTGAGGGCGGGTCACACTGAGATGCGCATGTCCCCTAAGAGAAGGCCTCTCTCCACAGTGTTTGAGGAGTATGAGAAAATCGCCAACAAGAGCATTGAGGACAGCATCAAGAGTGAGACCCACGGCTCGCTGGAGGAGGCCATGCTCACAGTGGGTGAGAGACGGAGCCCCGTGCTCAGACTCACGTGTGTCCGCCGGCCCCGGGGCTCTGTGATGGGACAGCGCCAAAGGCAAAGGGCCCAGGGTGCAGCAGCAAGAGACGGGGTCCCCATGTTCACCTTCAAGGTGAACCTCCACTCCAGCCCCCACTCTCAGCATGGACCCTTCACCCAGGACACGGGAAGTCTAGTGGGGGTGGGGGGGACACTAGTGTCCTCAGTGAGCTGTGTCCTGCCAGATTGTTCTCTGGGCTGCTCACACAGTGCCCAGTGCTGTGTGTAGCCGTGTGTGTACGTGTGTGCGTGAAGTACGTGAGACCGTGTAGTGCGTGAGTGTGTGTAC